TCCTTGTGTCTCACTCAGCTCAGGAATGAATGTGTTTATATGAGTGTTTCTCAAGCAAACCAAGGGTTCTTACCATGCTCACAAAAGGTGCCTCTCCAGCCAGGGCTGCATGTACATGCCCCACTGACATGGTCACACATGGCTCCATTGTCGCACTGACAGCGGTGTCGACAGTTCAACCCAAACCATCCTTCAGGACACTCTAGGAAATATAAAACAACCAGAGTTGGCCAGTGCCCTTCCCATCACAGCTATTAAACCATTGGCTCCAGCCTTGGCAAAGTGACTGTACATGGAAGTTGCCTACTGTGAGAGCTGCTTGTCTGAAACCAACTGGTGGTCTCTGGCTCACCCCTTGGGGAACAAGTATCTGCATCCCCACACCATCCATTACCACTGGCACCATCCACAAGGATTAGGGGGAAGGCTGGGCACAGAAAAAGAACAAAGTGCCATCAGCTTGGCTTGCTACTCTCTCCACTTTCAGTGCAGTAGAGAAGCAAAGGCCTTCAGTATCCAGTCTCTACTGTCTCCTCTCCCACCTACCAGATAACAATAATACAATGGCTTAAAGCTCCTGCTTCTCCAGCAACTACCAGAATGGCCTAGTGACAACACTCACTCTGGTCACAGTGGGGGCCCATGTAGCCAGCTTCACAGATGCACTTCCCTGTCACCACATTGCAGCTCCCATCACTGTTGCTGCAGTTGCAAGTGTTGGCACAGTCTAGGCCCCAGTGGCCAGCATCACAGGCTGAAACAGAGGAAAGGACACATCCTCATGACAGTACCCTTCACTTCACTTCCCTCATTGACAAGGACTGTGGGGTCTGGGGATAAGGCGGGGAAGGGGGTTCTTCTCTCTCATGTCTGCAGTCCCATCAGTGACGATCCCTGGACAGAGTCCTCAGACTGTGGGAAGATCTAAAGAGCATAGGTGGTGCATTAAGAAGACACTGCCCAAAAGCATTTTGACAGGGTCTGGAACACAAACTGTACCCTATTCAGAAAGGGGGATGAGAGGGACGTGGATAAGCAGGTACCAGAGGTGAAAGGCTCAAAGAGACATTCCCTGGAAGAGGCACAGCACAGACAAGACAAATGAAGGTGAGGGCGATTAGCTGCAGACAGCTCAATGCATAAAGCAGTTCGCAGCTGTCTTTGCAACAGGCCACAAGACATACAGGGTACGGTACCTCTTCTACAATTATACCCAGTCCAGCCTGGGGCACAGCTGCATTTCCCTGTCATGGGGTGGCAGTGACCGTCGTTCCCACAGCTGCATCTCATCTGGCAGCCCTGTCCAAACCAGCCAGCCGGACACACTGCAAGGGTGGAAATACAATACATGCAAGCTTTAGCAACGGTGTGGGGCTTACGTGTTACACACACTTATTTCCAAGGGGGTTCTGGAACACACGCACTAGCATTTGCTGCGACTGTCTGCTTCCCAAACCCTGCCTGCCCAAGCCTAGGGCCTCCCTCCTGGGCCAACAGGGCATAAGGTCAGCATTCCCTCTGGCATCAGCACATCCAATAGGTTGGACAATAAAAAAGATCAAGCTGCTCACCTGTGGGCATTTAGGCTTTTTGCTCAAGGTGGTAACCACATTGCAAAGCAGCTCTCTGAGCCGATCAATGGGGCCCAGAAACTGACTCTCTGTGTGATGCTGAGCCAAATGCATGAACCCTTTGTGCCATAGTTTCCAGGTGTGATTAAGACACCTCTGGTATCTTGTAGAATCAAAGATGTGTAGGACTGGAGGAGACCAGGGAAGGAGATATGAGGCTGTTCAGGCATGCTTTGCACCCCTGGTATACAAAGTGCAGTAGCACTAGATCACTGTATCAGATCCTCCTGGCCTAGGTCATACAATTCGTAGTCCACTCCAGTGCAGCTCATTCACCAGGACATGCTAAGAACATGGATGGACTGACAGCACTTACTGTCTTGACAGCGGCTGCCCCTATATCCAGGTGGGCACAGGCAGGAACCAGTAGCAGGGTCACAGCTGGCACTGTTTTCACACTCAGGGCAGATCTCCTGGCAGCCAACTCCCCAGTGGCCATCAGGGCAGACTGAAACACACATAAAGAATCAAAAAGGAAGTCAAGTCAGAATTTGTGTACAACTCATAGGGCACAAGGTACAAGTGACGGGTGGAAGCTTGGCAGCCCCAGAGCTGAAGCACTCTGGGGATTCACAGAGCAGTTGCATTTCTCTGCACAGGCCACTTCCAGAGAACTGCTGAGGGTCCCAGTAGGGGTGGTCACTAAAAGCAACTAGGGTGGGCACCCTTTGTCACAAGAAAGGTGCTCAAAGCCCTTGTTCAGCCTGTTTTGCCACTTCTTCTGCCTGCTACAGCTGCTCATCATACCAGTACTCAGAAATGATAGCTGCAAATCACAGAATCATAGAAAATTAGGGTTGGAAGGGACTTCAGGAAGCCATCCAGTTTAACCCCCTGCTCAAAGCAGAACCATCCCCAACTAGATCATCCCAGCCAAAGCTTTGTCTAGACACGTCCTGAAAACTTCCAAGGATGACAGCAGGTGATACAGCAGCTCTACAAAGGGAAGTTTTAAAACATGAGGGCTTTTCCTCCCCTTTCCTCTCTCCCAGCTGGCTGGGGAGGCCCTTCAAACTCATTTGCTTTCAGTGATACTGGCCACTTTGTAGTGCTTTGTTGTTTTTCACTTCCAAGCTTTTCCTTTAGATCCAGGAATCCTCAGGAAACCTGAATCCACAAGCAAGTAATGACAAAGCAAAAGCACCTAAGAAGATGAGGCTGCATATGAGGCTTTCTGCTCCTGCACCCAGAGCTCAGCAACATCTTAGGCCAAGGGAGGAAGGGAAATGTATAACAAGTGAATGGCAGTGTTAAACTCACAGAGCTAACCTGAGAAGCCCTCTTCTCCCTCCTGATGCACTCCTTCCAGGGCTTTGAACAATGTGACTGCAACAAAGCACATGCTGGAAAATATACCTGTTTGATTTGATTGTATTCTTCCAGATATTCCAGCCCCAGGGTGCCTGCACACCTTGCGCACCCTGCCACAGGACTATTTGATTGTGTTATTATGACTTAAGTGAAGCTTGTGCTCTTATGATCTGGAGTTGCCTCCTTTCCCGCATGTGGAGCTGGGAAGTGAGCACACCCATCAGAGCTGCTGCTGGGGTCAGCTACATTTATGACAGTGGAGTCTCTACAAATACCATTATACTGGGCTGTTCCCATCTGTCTGGAATGCTGCTCCCGTCTCGGCCAAAAACATCCTCTTTGTTTCTGTAGCATCAGGGAAGCCACACCATTCCACACTGGGATTAGAGAGACATGCATTGTCTCCAAAATGCTCAGTGACATGACCTCCCACACAGGACCGTAAGAAACACTAATCAATTCCTGAGCTGACTTCCTGAGTTTACTTTGTTCAGTACATGCATTGGGCACTTGCAGCCTGTTTTCCTGACCCAAGTTTCCTTGAATTGCTTCTCATCCTAGACAGGAACACAACATTTTACAGCACATGCAGATCTTAGTCTCTCACAGCTCCACCAAGCCATGAATTTCACACATAGGAAAGAAGCCTGCCAGGTCTGGGAGGTAAAGCCAAAGGCCCTGGTAAGCTTGGGCAAAGCTGGTCCATAAAGCTTCTGAGCACTACAGAGAAAGCCTGGGAAAGGAGCCCTGAGAAGGCTTTGGCAGATATATAGGGGGTGTAGGATGGAGCCGTGTTGGTCTAAGGACAAAAGCAGACAAGGCTCTTTGGGTGAATCTGATATCTTTTATTAGACCAACTTACATAGTTGGAGAACAATTTTTAAGCAAGCTTTCGGGTTCAAAAACTTTCTTGCTTAAAAACTGTTCTCCAACTATTTAAGTTGTGGAGTCAGTCCTGAGGAGGGCAGTGTGGGGAGCTAGCAAGCTGTAGAGCTGTGCTAGACCACCAGGAAAGACAAGGGTCACGCATGGGGCCACAGGAACTAACTGGAGATGTAAGGGACTCCTGTGGACAATGGGAGTGGTGCATCCTGCTTGATGACATCTGAACCATAGTGGATTCTTTGCAGGAACAAATGATAGATACCTGAGTGCTATTCTGATTTCACTCCACTGTTCTGGCTCTTAACTCATGCTGGTAAGTTCTGAACTGCTCCTTGGTAAGGAACAATGTTTCTGGCAAATGATCTCCATTCACGCATGTGCACTGCTAGACAAAAAACTTTGCTCAGAATTTCTGGAATGTGCAATCCTTTCCAAAAAGCTGAGAAGTGCTCATGCTGGGACAAATGTCTTTGCCCAATGGATCCCCAGTCCTTCTGATGGCTGAAAGAAGCCACATTCAGAACATATATAAAATATCCTACATTCCTGCATGCTCCTTACATCCAAGAGCTTGACTGAGCAGTAAGAGATTTAAGTATGACTAATCTCTCCCAGCTGCTGTAATATCCCACAAAAATGTAAACTTTTAGCTTTCTTTTCACTGGGGGGGTCCTTTGTTTTTCAGCACTTAAAGGGTCAGATGTGAGAGCAATAAAAAATACATGTCTGAAATAGAAAAACTCCTTTGCTGTGTCACTAAAAGCCTAGAGTGTGACAGCTAGAAACCCAAATCACTGCTCAGCCCCTTAAGAAATGTTTTACACTTTATTCTGGGGTGGCTGGTTTGAACTACCTGTATTTTGTACCCTGAAATAAAGACGCAGAGTGTGAGTATGACTTCCACGCAAAAGAAGCTCCTTGAAGA